GCTGCCCCCCACCCCCATCGCCTCCCAGAAGAGCTGCCCTTGGCTCTGGCCAGCTCCCTGCCCCAGCCCCATGCATTGCCCTGACTGGGTAGCACCCCCAGCCCCAGCCCCAGCCCCACTCCCTCCTTCACCATGGAAGTCTCAATCTTACCCCCCTCCCATACTTACCTGCAGGCAGCTGTGGGAGCTGCTCTCCACCACTGCCTGGGGCTGTATTCCTGGCAACATGAATGTGTGCCCATGGCACCCCCTGCATCCCAGCCCCCAGCTGTCCCCTGCAGGATGTAACACTGCAAAGAGACACCCACTATTTTCTGTTTTTCTGTGGCGTATGGAAAACCTGGACCCCTGCATAACACTGTGAGTCCAGGACAAGTGCTGTCCCAGAGTTATGCAGCCCAGAACCGGGAGTTGATGATCCAATTTTGGGACTGTTCTGCCCAATTAGGGACAGGTGGTTACCCTAATTGTGTCACTGGGGCTCATGAGGAATTGGCACAATGCTATTGGGAAGAAATGGGGAGGCATTGGCTTGGGGTTATTTTGGAGGCTATCTGCCTAGTCTTTGGATTTACTCAGGTTTTGGAGGAGTCCAGGTCTCCAGGAGTCAGGGCTGGTAGAATCAGCAGAAAGCCTGATCTCTGAAAACACTGGCAGGACTCTCAAGGGGAGAGGAGAGCCAGATGAGAAGGTAAGAAACTTTCATAGTTTCATAGTTGTTAGGGTTGGAAGGGACCTTGATAGATCATTGAGTCCGACCCCCTGCCCTGGGTCAGAAAGAGCGCTGGGGTCATATTACCCCAGTCAGGTGCTTGTCCAGTCTTTTCTTAAAGACCCCCAAGGTAGGGGAGATCATCACCTCCCTTGGAAGTCCATTCCAGATTCTGGCAATCCTTATCATAAAGAAGTTCTTCCTGATGTCCAACCTAAATCTTCCCTCTGTCTGTAGCCATTATTCCTGGTTATTCCAAGGGGTGTCCTGGTAAACAGAGCATCTCCAATTTCTTACTGCCCCCACCCTGCTGAATTTGTAAATGGCCACAAAATCACCTTTCAGCCTTCTCTTGCAGAGGCTGAAGAGATCCAGGTCCCTTAGTCTCTCCCCATAGGGCCCCTAACCATATGAGTGGCCCTCCTCTGCACCCTCTCAAGGTTATCCACATCTCTTGAAGTGTGGCGCCCAGAACTGGACACAGTACTCCAACTGAGGCCTGACCAATGTTTCACAGAAGGGAAGTATCACCTCCCTGAATCTTTCATGATGCACCTGCTAATGCATGATAAAGTACAGTTAGCTTTACTGATTACTTTGTCACACTGATGACTCATGTTCATCTTGGAGTCAGCTATGACTCTGAGATCCCTTTCTGCTGCTGTGCTGCTCAGCAGGTCTTCCCCTAGCTTATAGGTGTGTTGGTGATTCCTTCTCCCTAGATGTGGCACTTTGCACTTGTCTTTGTTGAAATGCATCCTACACTTTTCTGCCCACTTTTCCAACCTGTCCAAGTCCACCTGGATGCAATCCCTTCCCACTAGTGTGTTAACTTTACCCCATAATTTCATGTCATCCACAAATTTTGACAGAGTGCTCTCTACACCCTCATCCAAGTCGCTGATGAAGACATTGAATAACACTGGCCCAAGGACCAAGCCTTGGGAGACCCCACTGCCCACATCTCTCCAGGTTGATACCAACCTGTCCACCACCACTCTCTGGGTGTGACCCTTAAACCAATTCGCCACCCGCATGACCATGTACTAATCTATGTCACAGTCTCTCAGTTTGTTTGTGAGACTAGTATGACATACTATATCAAAGGCCTTCTTAAAATCTAAGTAGATGACATCTACCTCGTCTCCTGCATCTAAGCATTTTGTGACCTGGTCATAAAAAGAAATGAGGTTAGTCAGGCAGAATCTACCTGCTATGAACCTATGCTGGTTGCCCTTCATCATTATTTTTCCTGCTGGGCTCTCACAAATGTGATCCTTGATAATTTTTTCAAAGGTTTTCCCAAGCATAGAGGTGAGACTAACTGGCCTATAATTACTCGGATCCTCCTTCCTCCCCTTCCTGAAAATAGGGACCACATTGTCCCTTTTCCAGTCCTCTGGGACCATGCTCAAACAGTTGTGCCAGTGGCTCTGCTATGACACTTTACTTGTCTTTTTGTTCTATCTTCAAACTTATCATCCGTTTATCTGGTATAATTATTTTTTTTCTTATATAATAAATCCTTCTGGTTTCTTGTTTCCTTTTTGTTCACCTGTGGTAAAGAGTGATCTCTGGGCAAGTGACATTCTAGGCTATGCTAATTCTACAGAAAGGCGGACCTAAGATTTCTTTCACAACCCAAAAGGAAGCCACCTGGAGCTGGCAGAGATTCCCCTGCTGCAACTGTGAGGTCTAGTGTAAGGGTAGTGGAGCTGAGGATTGCAAGCATAAGGTGTTACCCCAGGGCAAACCTTGATCTCTTCCTTGCAGCAGGACAGCAGGGAGAAACTTATGGCTCTGGGAGTACCCTGTGGGCAGATTTGTGACTTGAGTAAGAGTAGGTTATGCTAAAAACCAAGTTTTCTACCTTCTCCCCACCTACACAAGCATAACAATTACTTTGGGGTCTGTAAGTGTAAAGGACCAATGCCATTTGTCCTGATATAATATTGCTTTATGATGGATGCCTCTTTTTCACTGGACATCTCTTCTCAGATGTTGATAAAAATGTGTTATGTTATCTGCAAAATCACCAAGCATGTGGCATTTTCTGAGTCTCTATATTTGTGGTTAAACTGCAATTGTCAAATTACAGTTGTCCTCATGGGCTAATCCTTTACCAAGAACAAGCAGGAAGAAAATACTTATCTCTGTCTTCCTCCCTTGTTCCATCTCAGTGCCTAACTGTTTGTCTTCCGATAGGAAACCTATTGTATGGTATAGAACCACTGTATGCTAGATAAGCTTTTTTCTGAGAGGTCTGACATAGCCCTTGATGACAAAGAAACTCCCAGCACTGGCTGTCAAATGAAGTTTTGATAATTTATTTAATTCAGAGTAACTTGTATGTGTCTATGTACTGGTTGTTGCAAAAAGAAATTAAAGAACCAACTGAAAATCCTGGGTTTGGATTTTCTTTTCCCCCCTCTTTTAGAAACACAGAATGCAGGCACTTGTATGGTAAACGATATTGTGTTTGTACACCAGTGTAATTCACACTGGGATCATGAGCAGACAGATGAGTGTCCTACCCAGAGTACCAGACAGTAGACAGTTGTCCTTGACCCTGGATGCTGGGGTGGGGGGAAGTGGGGTGGAGATAATCTCTTCAGCAAAAGATTCCCATGGCATAGCTGAAACGGAGTGCCACTGTAAATATGCAGTATACACTGAGGCTACTACCTTTTTCCACGGGGTAACTTTACACCAAACTACAATGACTTGTGCACATTGTATCAGTATAAAAGGGCACCTATACATGTGCAGCGAGGCTGCTTCAATGCGCTGTAATTACTCAATTAATCAAGTCTGCTTGAGCATGATAATTACTGCACTCCAGTGTCATGTGCATCAGTGTCATGTGCTGAAAAATGGTGGTGGGGGTGCTTTAACTAAAGCTCGCTCAACAAACTTTAGTTAAAGCACCCCCGCCACCATTTTTCAGTGCAGGGACGCTGATACATGTGACACTACAGGAGCTTTAATTAGAGCAGCTCTCAGAGCTGCTGTAATTAAGATGCCCTTCCCAACCCCCACCCCACACGCACTCCTGGAGCATGTTTATAAATGTCCAAAATGTTTTGAGTCCACATTCAGAAAATAGCACATGTGTGATATTGAAGACTGAGATTGAGATGATTATTTGTGAATATTGATGAAAAAAATTTTGCTGCATGCAAAGTGCACCTCAGAAAGCATCATATGCATGGTAAATAACTACATGCACATAATAATTGCATGAAGGGGGAATAATTGCATGCACAAATATAAACTGGGAAATGAGTGGCAAGGCTGCAGTACTGCAGAGAAGGACCTGAGGGTTCCAGTAGACCATAAGGTGATTCTGAGCCAACACTGTGCTCTTGTTGCAAAAAAAGCCAATAGCATACTAGGTTGTATTAACAGGAGCATCACTTGCAAATCAAGGGAAGTAATTCTTCCACTCTATTCAGTACTGTTGAGGCCTCACATAGAGTACTGTGTCTAGTTTCAGGCCCCACACTTCAAGAAGGTTGTCAACAGATTGTAAAGTAGAGCAACAAAAATTATTAGGGGCAAGACTTATGAGGAAAGGCTGAAAGAAGAAGGGTTATTTGGAGAAGAGAATACCTGAGGGGTAATTATAGAGGATGGAGATAGACTTTTATCAGTGGCCACAGGGGACCAGACTAGGAGTAACAGTTGTAGCAAATTACATTTTTTGTATTTTCTTACATATAACCTATTCTTTCTCCCTAAAAACAGCAGGGGAAAAGTGGGGTGCACTTTATATATGATGAAAAGAAGGGATCCCCACAGGTCCAGAAATTTGGCAGAAGGTTTGGAGTGGTAGGCAGCATTAATTGCTGCAACTTTTTCAGCAAAATTGCTGGACCTGTGGTGAGTCCCTTCCCCAACCATGTGCTGGCTGAAGCCTGCACACAGAGTCCAGGATTGTGTGCTGGCTCCTGGTCCACATGCTAAGTCAGACATGGCACATGGCTCCTGAACCACAGCATAGTCCTGGACTCAGCCTGCAGCCCCAGATACAACATGCAGGGTTGGACCCAGCATTAGATTCCAGAGCTAGTGGCCAGCCCCAGACCCAACATCCAGTCCCAGACTTGGTATGCTGGGTCCCCCCTAGCAAATCGCTCTGAAGTCAGTGTGTGGCCCTGGTACCAGTGCAGTGGGTCAGCCCACAGGCTCTAACAAGTACATGGGGCCAGCAAGAGGCTCCACTCTAACTGTTGTCACTCATGCACTTCTACTGAAGAAACTGAAAATCTTTTTTTTTTCCCTTTAGATTCCCCTTCAAAAATCAAGTTGCATAGGATACAGGTAAGTGTGTGTGTGTGTGTGTGTGTGTGTGTGTGTGTGTGGAGATTAAACATAACTTTCAACGGTGAGGGTGTTCAAGCGTTGGAACAGGCTGTGGAAGGAATCTCCATCCTTGGACATTTTCAAGAGCAAGTTGGACAGACACTTCACAGGGATGGTTTGGTAAGGAACAATCCATGGGGATGGACCTTGTGAGGTCCCTTCCAGCCCTACTTTCCTATGACCACCAATACTTCTGGATAAGGTCTACCTGTCTACTTCCCTGTGAGGGTTGTGAACTATACGTAATTTTCTTTCTAGGTGACCACACCTTCTCCGGTAGCCCATCATTAGTAAAGCTCTATAAGAAGCTGTATTCTCTCTAGATCCAGAGGCTCAGGACACAAAATACTGCTAGTATAGATTCCATTTAAAATTCTCATTTTTATTGTCAGTTACTGCCACATCCCAAAAACTAAGGGAATTTGCTGCTCAGTCTCAGTACAGACTTCTTTTCAGCCCTACCAGTTTACCTGTCACAATCCTAATCATCTCCGTATTTCACATGAAGATGATATCTTTTGAAACTTCAACACCATGAATTGAATTCTAGGGATTGCTGAAGACACAGGGGCAAATTCAGTCATTCTTAATCTAACAAAAGTGCCATTTGAAGTCGGTGGGAGTCATGTTAGATTGAGGATTTTAAAAACTTGGCCATAAATCTTTTCAAGAACAATGTGATCTCTTTCTACATGTTTCCTTTGTGTGTATTTAATTAATTTTGAAAAGTACAGTATCATCTCTTGTTCAATATGAGTGTAGTTCATTTCTGCTTACAGATGCAACTGACTCATAAAATCCCAGCATTTTAAAATTAATTTACTGGTGATGTGTGTTTTCTTGCTTAAATATTTCTTTATATTTCTCTTTTGTCATCTTTTCTATCAACTAAGGACATGTTGATTAGAGATGGATTTGCAGTGAAGTTTGTCACAAAGTTTGTCATTTCCATCTGTCTCTGTAGATGTACTTTACGAAACAGAGCTGACACTCTGGCTACTTCCTCTCCTTTATCTGAGTCTGCAGTCAAGCTATCTCTGCTCAACTTATGTCCAGTGTGGCAAACCTGTTACTCTTATCATTGATACCTGATTTTTCAGTATTTTTTCTCTCCGTTACCCCTTTTCTACAAAACCTTGCAGTACTTCCACTGCATTCTATAAGTGCCCTAACCTAAGTTTAAACATCATGTACTATACCTGCATCATCTTTGAGTGCTCCAAAGATATATACAGTATAATAATAATATTTCATAGAGTTCACAGCCTGATTCTAGCCTAGTCATATTAGACACTGTTAAAGGCATAGCAGAACACAGCCCCCACTCTGAAAAGTTGACAATCGTAGCTTAACACAGGATGCGATAGTTGGATGAAGCAAACGGACAGCAAAAAAGGGAAAAGATCCACTGATCTCTTTCGTAATAACATGTATTTTGTCAGTAACCAAGAGTTAAGGTTGCCCTTGCCAGCACTTTTAGACTATTAAGTTCAGTTTCACACAACCCTGGAAATCCAGGATCTATAGAGTTAAGGTACATGACCCTCTGGAGTTGGCAACAGAAACCAGACATTGTCTACATGCAGTCCATCTGGGTTCGCTGTATCAGCTTTAGGTGGTGGGTTTGCTTGGGAGAACTGTGACCATAATAAAAGATTTGTGTGGGCTCTGCCCTCTAGGAAGATTTGACTCCCCTTCCCTATGTGTGTCCTCAAAGGAAGCATGCCTACATACTTCAAGGAATCCAGTGTACATCATTTCAGCACTTATTTCTGAAGGTTGTATTTATGCTTCCTGGCATGGAAATTGTTATCAGTAAGGTGGGGTGTGGGAGTAGTCTGTGGGTTTGATGGGTAAGTGAAAGTATAGTGCTAGACAGAATACTGGGCGAAGGGGTTTTAAAATTTAGCAGACATGGAGTTGCTCCTGGGTAGCAGGCTCACAAGTATTGAATTCAGATCATCTAAATGCAAATATTTCCTTAAAAAGAAGAGGAGTAACCTTTTCTGCAGTGGTCATGTGCCCTGCTTGTTACCTAATATACACTATCTGCAAAGTGAGTGTGTGTGTGTGTGTGTGAGAGAGAGAGAGAGAGAGCGCAAGAGATGGATTTATGGGCACACTGATCAAATAGAACAGAAGTATACTTGCATTGGTAGGTACCTTAACTGTTTCCCAGTTTTTGAAGATTTTGAGTTTTGCTTAATTTGGTGTTCTGGAAGGACAATCTTCCAAGAACTTTTATTACCTATGAATGTCCTAGTACATTTAACAGAAATAAAAATACTATTGTTGTAGGAGTTAGTTGTCACTTAGGTTTGCAGTTAATGAGTCACTATGTCTCACTAATGCTAATGTAGCTATGGAGCCTGAAGCGGTTCTCTCTGTTCCTTTAGCCTTTTGATTGTGGAGTGGGAAATGACTGAGCTTTGAAATATTTGGTGGAGTTAGTGAAAGGAAGAGAAACTGCATGCAAGGCCCATGACTGAAGAGCTTGATAGTTTTATTCCTTGTTAAGTGTGAGAGAAGACTGATTTGTCTTACCCATTTGCACCCAGTGCATTCAGATGTTCTCAGCTGAATGAGAACTGTGTATGGATATGAACAGAGCCTGAAACAATAGTTCTGGGCTGTGTGAACTCACTGTGGGTGATTGTCATCACCCCTTCCTAGGGTCAATGCTTGTAATCCTGTTATGGACCTAGCATACCTAATCTCAGTTTCTCACTCCAGTCACAGCACTGTGTTCATAGTACATGCTCCAAGTGTGCCTGTTCTCAGCTCCCCACCTAGAGGGACATGGTCCCTGCAGATCCTAGCCATGAAGGGCTGGAAGAGGGGCTCAGACCTTCCAGAGCCCACCATACACATTATCTCCCTATACACCCTGATAGCAGTGATTGATGATGATCAGAACTATGGTGTGATCTCCAGCTATATTGGGGAAAAAACAATGGCAGGTAAAATAAAATAATGAAATGCTGTTTCTAGGAGGGCTGTGCCTCAGGAGTCTATCAGGAGGGCAAGGCCAGGGGCTCAGACCCCTCCAGAAACTGATTTGGGTCCTATTCATATGGGGAATAGGGAGGGGGTTCAGGTACCCAGGGACAGCAAGGCCCCTACAGATCCTAACACCTACAGATCCTATAGGAGGGGTGAATCTGAGCCAACAATCCCTTTCCAACCCCCCACCCCTGGAAAAGGGCCAATGTGGTCCTCATTTTCAAAAAAGGGAGGAAGGAGGACCCAGGAAATTACAGGCCCATTAGCCTTACCTCAGTCCTGGAGAAGCTCTTTGAGAAAATTATCCAGGAGCACATCCGCAAGGGACCAGCAGGGGAGATCATGCTTAGGGGCAACCAACATGGGTTCATTTGAGGTAGGTCTACAGATGCATCACAAACAGGTCCAAGGAGGTGATCATCCCCCTCTACGCAACACTAGTCAGACCGCAGTTGGGATACTGTGTTCAGTTCTAGTCGCCAAACTTCAGGAGGGATGTGGACAGCATGGAGAGGGTCCAGAGGAGGGCCACTTGCATGATGAGGGGGCAGCAGAGCAGGCCCTACGAGGAGAGGCTACGGGACCTGAACCTGTTCAACCTCCACAAGAGAAGGCTGAGGGGGGATCTAGTGGCCATCTACAAACTGGCCAAGGGATACCAGCAGGCAATGGGAGAGTCCCTGTTCCCCCGAGCACTACTGGGAGTAATGAGGAATAATGGCCGTAAGTTGACCAAGAGTAGATTCAGGCTAGATATCAGGAGGCACTACTTCACAGTCAGGGCAGCTAGGATCTGGAATCAACTTCCAAGGGAAGTGGTACTCGCTCCTACCCTGGGGGTCTTCAAAAGAAGGCTAGATAGACATCTAGCCAGGGTCTTTTGACCCCAGTACTCTTTCCTGCCCATGGCAGGGGTCGGACTAGATGATCTGCTAAGGTCCCTTCCGACCCTACCAACTATGAACCCCCGCCCCCAAACACACAGTTATCACTCTACCATCCATTTTCATGTATTCCTTCTCCTTCCCCATGCCAAAGTCCCAAACCCTGCTCCATCTGCCCTGCCACTCCTCTGCCCATAATCCTCTCCCCACTCCCACAGGCATTCACGTGTAGACTGCTTTCTTTTTAAAAGATCATTGGATCCTTTTTTTTTGCTTATTAGCTGCACTCAGATTATATTTCCCAAAAGAAGGATCACAGGCAGATCATAGTAACTTGTCTACAGATCGTTCACCTATTTTGCCAACAGTGGAACTGGAATTTACAGTGTCTAGTTATAGCTCAGGGTTAGTTCTAAGATCACATTCAAATGGTCTGGCTGAAATCCCTCATAGTCTTTCTCCACACTGCAATCTGTCCAAAATGACTGATCCAGTGACTGGCTAATGATGTTTTCAGTACTGCTTACTATATGTTCTGGTTTAGCTAGGACAGTCCCAGATTTTGGAGGCTGGCTGGTGAGAGTTAAAATGAACATCCCAGAAATGCAGGGAGGCAGAGCAATGCAGAGTAGTATGGTATGCCAAGCAATTGGGCAGGCAGACACTGCTACCTGCTCGCCCACCTGCCCAGCACACCATGCCACCCCACCCCCACCTCAGCCTCCAGCAACACCATTGACTTTGGAGAGCAGAGGTGAGAGGGGGGGAAGTGTCCTGGATTTCCTTATGGTCGACTTATCATTCACTAGCCAATATGAATAGTAAGTGACTGTAACCGGTTGGAAAGATGATTAGAGTATGGTGTGAACCTCAGCAGGGCAGGGTGGGGGAGTTGAGAGACAGAGGTTGTGAAACACTGTTTTCCCCTGAGAGGCTTCTGAGGTGCAGAAACAAAGGGCCAAATTTGAATCTTTTAACTCAAAGCCCCAGGCATCAAAGCAAATTTTAGTACTACCTGGAGAAGCAGGGAAGCTTTAGAGAACTGGAAGAATAGCCCTTTAAAAAGAAAGGCATTGTCAATCTTAGCCGTAATAGGAGAGTTAGCACAGTCTTGTATTTTATCATATAAATCTAAAGGTGATTACCTGGGTAAGACATACATTATTAAGCAAATCCTCAGAAACTGATATGCAGGGAAGTGCTGTGGCTTGCCCCAAACTGCATAATAGAATGGCCAGCTTAAATAGCAAAGGCAGTAGGTAGAATCCAATTTTCTTGATTCCCAGTAGAAAACATTAGCCTTTGGACCTTACTGCCATCTCCCCCACCCAGGTCTTTGAAATACCTTAGCAGCAGAACAGCAAAAGGCATTTAGATGGCATACTCAACAGTATTCAGTTTAATTCATCACATCCAAATGGTATATTACAAGTCACTAGCTTGGAGCTTGGCTCATCTAATTTTACACGCTAAAATGCTACATCTGGAGTTGAGAATATACTATTTTTATTGGTTAATGTTCACATTTTATGACTTCAGTTAAATCGTGTGGATAAATACACATGCATACCTCATTTGGTTGTTCATTTACAACCAGGGAATTGAACCAGTCTGTTGGTGGTTCTGTTCATTCAAGATATTCCAGTTTTTCTTGGAGCAGAGACCTGCAACTACATTTGTGTTTGTATAGTGCCAGCAGGAACCTAATTCTGATGTATGCCTCCACAACCTACTGTAATATAAATATGAAATGAAAGTTGCAAATTCCTATAAAGTAAGGTGCAATTTGAATGGATGTTGAGGCAAATGGGATTTTTCTGAAGATCCATGACAGACAGGAATTATTGATGTGTCTGTCTAATGTGTTATTCTCTTGGCAGATAGCCTAGTGCTTAGGGGACATCTGAGAATTGTAGCATGCTGTTAATGTTCTCTCTATGCAATTCCATGACACTTACAAACTGGTCAGTTTTTGCCCTGCAGGATACTCGTAACTTTCATTGACATTAGTAGAAGCTGCTCATAATCCGCCCACAATCAAAGAGAACTAAGTTCTGTTTCTACTTACATTGGGATAAGAATGTGCACAAAGGCAGTTACCACAAAGCAACCAGTAACAGGTAAAGCCTCATCCTCTTCTACACCCCCTTATCCCCTGAAAAGTTCTTCCTATGTCCATACCTCTGTTTATGGCTGAGCTAGCTTCAATCCTTAAAAAAAGCGATCATCTATATTCACTATACAAAGTGATGTGGTACTATTTTTTTAAGATAAATTACTTGGCCTTGGATTGCACATCTAGTCCTCAGTGGACTGGTCTATACGAGATATTTACTGCATAGTTGCCTAATTAACTGCATAGCAAATGTCTCAGTGTTTACACATGCATCCCTATTAGGGCGCACAAAACTAATAAACTCCTTAGCAAGGTAGTACTTGTAAATACTAGTACTAACCCTGCTCCTGAGTTTATTCATACACAGTAATGCAGGTGTAGAGGCTGACCAGATGGCTGGGGCACAAGAGTGCTTCAGTGCCAGGGATACCTGCTGGCTAGCCCCACACTGAAACACCCTCATGGCCCAGCCAGCTCCTCCACAGCACGCTGAGCAGTGTTGGAGCAGCCCCAGGCTGGCAGGCTGATCCCCAGGGCCCCCTGCCAGCTAGAGCTGCTCTGGCTGGGCTCCATCTGCTGTGTGAATAAACATTTGAACATGCTTCTGAGAGCAAATAACTCCAGGCACTTGGAAGAAAAACACTCCAAAGCAATAAGATCCAGAGTTTATTTATGTACACTAATTGCACGTGTAGATGCACCCATTGTGAAAGAGCTTGTTACAGATTTCTGTATTTTTCTTAATTGCAGATACAAACAATTATGTCCATACAAACACTGGTCAATGTGGATGTGGCCCCTGTACTACAGGTTTTAAATAAAGTGTTTATCTTTAAAACAGCCTTATATTACAAAGTGATACATATAGAAAAGGGTAACAAACTGCTTCCTATTCCCTTGCTATGACCAATGACTAGGGCCACTGACAAACATTAAATTAAAGGCATGGTGCCACATATGCATGACAGGAGGCACAATTGTGGGATCAAGCATCTGATTGCATTGTACCATAATACTACTGCAGGGGGAGCCTGGGATCCATGATCCCAGACTCCCCCTGCTCCAGCAAGCTTGGCTCCCTGTATTCACCCAGCTAGGAGCCCTGACCAGGGATTTGACTTTGATGCATTCCCCCAGCTGGGATACCCCAGGGAAGTGCTGGTAAGCTGAGTGGGGCTTCCAGCCAGGGGAGTTCATGACAGTTTGTAAATCTCCCCTGGCTGGAAGTCCCAGCCAGCTGACCAATGCGCCCAGCCTCTGGAGCATGCAGGAAGCTTGAAGGGCTCTAGTGTGCTCCAGAGGCTGAGACTGCTGGCCACATGTATAATTAAAGGCATGATAGGAACCAGCCATGAAGTTATTACACATTTTGTGTAATAACTTTGTGGCTTATTCCCCATTTTATCATGCCATTAACTGAATGAACATGTGGCTGGTCACTACTTAAAATGATAATTAATCAGTTAATTGAGTAATTAGTGTAACACCTGACAGGGGCCTATGTGTCCTTTTGTATGAGGGTACATTTCCCAGCAGGGTAAACTAGTTCATGCTACACTCCATAGTGCCACAGCCAGTCTGCTACTGATATCCAGGCTAGCTAACATCATTTTCTCTGTGCTACATTGCAATCATTTCGGTGACTGCAGTGTAGACATGCCTTTTCCCTTGTCAGTGCCTTACAGGAAGTTCACAAAGCCTAGATAACAGCATACAGGAAGTGGGGCACCTTTACAGTTTCTGGAGGATTTATTCTGTCACACACTTTCCCTTCTTTGGATCCATTTCAAAATTTTCCAACTAAGACATTGTTAAATTGAACTGACAAGCTATAACAAAAACAATAACTGACTTTAACAACCTTTCAGGTTGCTTTAACACTAACTTAACATGTCTTGATAAGTCTCTTAGGCATTTCAGCAAGCTTCTCAATCTGCTATATTACAAAACCTCTTTAGGCAGGACCTTATCGGTGACAGGCTGTTCAGTCTCACAGTCAATAATGGGATCAGTTTGTAAATTATTTTCAGCCTCTGTGTCTGTTCTCACTTCACTTGTCTCTGCCAAGTGTTCAGGTGTTTTCAGCAGATGCTTCTGAATTCTTTGTACAATTATTGCCTTCATTTAGGAAGATTCATAGTTTCATAGATTCATAGATTAAGGGTCGGAAGGGACCTAGTAGATCTTCTAGCCTGACCCCCCGCCAGGGCGGGAGAACAACAAAAAACCCCAAAAAGAGAAACGGGACTCAAACGAGTCCAGCCAGGTAGGCATCCAGCCTCTTCTTAAAGACCCCCAGGGTAGGGGCCAGCACCACTTCCCTTGGAAGTTGGTTCCAGCTCCTAGCCGCCCTAACCGTGAAGTAGTTTTTGCGGATGTCCAATCTATACCTCCTCTCCATCAGCTTGTGCCCATTACTCCTTGTTATGCCAGCGGGCGCTAGGGGAAACAGCGTCTCCCCCAAACCCTTCTGGTCCCCCCTAGTGAGTCTATAGACAGTCACCAGGTCCCCCCTTAGCCTTCTCTTGTGGATAAAGCAGCCATGAAGGGACATGAACCCTCAATCTTCTGATTGAGATAATATAATCCAGGAGATTTCTTTGATCACTGTAGCTTTGTGTGGGCAGTGCCAACCTTGCCAAATTCCCACAGCCAACATTTTTACCTATAGCAGTAGTCTTGTTCTTTTGTAATAGTTTGCTCATGCTTTCTTAGTCTTTTCCTCACTATTATGGATTCCCTCATCAACCTTTCCTTTTGTTTGAGATCAAGTATGTGTATGTCTGTTACAGAGGAGTTCAGCAGGTAGCTTTCCACAGTCCAGAGTGATAGTTAAAGATAGTTCTTCTTTTGCATCCATTGTTTGTTTGTTTTCAAATTCTTCATCATACATACTACACTTTAAGATACTTCATTGGCTTTTGAGGATAGCTAGGACTAGATAGCTCATTATGATCATGACTTTTAACAGAAGACAAGTATTTTTAGAGTGATATCTTTTATTGAGCAACTATGTCTACAACTATATCTACATAGTAGTCCAATAAAAGATACCATGCTAAGATATCATTGCCTCAGGAAAAATCTGGACCATCCTAGCTGCATCATTACTCTGACACTATCATAAAGTTTAGCAAATTCTAGTAATTTCCTATGCTCAAACTATAGTATGTTGTCAGTTACTGCTATTATTGCAATTCCATGATTCCCAAAGTGTCTGACTGTTGCAATCTTTGAACAAAATACTTCCGAAACATTCACGAATTATAGTCATGTTATCATGCTTTCAAATATATTCACCTTTGCAGACACTGGAAGGTTACAAAAGGGCAGGACAGGTCCTCTTTTTGGCAATCAGAAGCAGCTGAAGCTACAAGGGAATTGCCTGCACCAGGAGCCTGATGATCCAACCTTCTTAAGCAGGAAATACAAAGATTTCTTCTTCCCCAATGAGTTCCCCAACCAAGCTCCTTGTCCCCTTTCTGCACAGTGATACAGATTCATCAGGAAGAGTGGAGAGTGACCCTACTAAAGCACTCTCCTTGAAGTGTGAATTTAGCCTCCTTGAGTTGGAGAAAACATTGAACCTGAGTGCACACTTCCTGAGTAAGTTCTGTTACACAAAAGGTGAGCACAACCACCACCTTCTTCTACATTTTAAAAGAAAATTAGCCAGCCCTGCTCAGGGGCTTGAAGAAATTGTTAAAAGTCCCATGAGATGAAGATGCTGGGCTCTGGATTTTAAGTATATGTTAGGTACCCAAAAGCACTAGTGAATTCTTTGAAAAAATTGACTGGAATTTTCCAGAAGTCAAAGTAGACCTCTCTTTGTTTGCCTCTTACCTTCTACCTAAACTTTACAGCTCCTGCCTTTGCCTTTCATATCATGTTTTAAACTTAAAGATAATTTTTATATTCTAGATATGAACTCTTAAAAATAAGCATTTAAGATTAAGTGAAATGTATAGACAGGTACTTAACTCTAGCAACACATATTCTAATTAGGAGAGTTCCTAATAGCACTGAATAGCAGAATCATGACTCTTGAGAACAGTGTGTTGGATATCAGTTTCTCTGGAAGGGTGCAGTGTCAGATCCATGTTTGAATTTCCAGTGCAGTTTAACACATGTCCATCTCAGCTCTCAGCTAGTTTTACACACAGCCACTTGACCTTGATGATAAAATTGATGATAGTAAAATCTAACTATGAAAAGACTCTATCATGTTTTCATTTTGCAGCATTTAATATTAAGAACTGGAAGTGATCTTGTCTCTTCAGTATTGCTTGCATCCTCACTATCAAAATCATGGTATTGTCACTGCTTTTTATTTTATTTTATTTTATAACAAAGACATGCTGATAAAAAAGCAGCAACTTCCATTCTAAGATTATAGTTGTGATGACTGAAGAAGACATAATAAAGATTGATTTAGACTGGAAGTGCAGGGCCAAAGATGTGTGAACAAGTTTAAGATTAACATCAATCTTCCAGAATCTTTAAAATCACACAAACTCACTATTAAATATAACTGCTGTATAAACTAGTAATATGGATATAATGCTTTCTCACTGCTATGTGTTCCCTTCTCCAGTCATATGAATTATGTGAAAGCAAATTAACACTTCAGTTTGAAAATGTTTGACACGTTAACTAAAAACAGCTAGGAGATATATGATGGTCCTCAATTTAGAGACAGAGAAATTGACACCAATATTAAGTGAATTACACAAGCAAATCAGTGCCAGATCTGGGACTAGAACTATCACCCTCATTATTCTACTTCGTAATCATTACACTTTAACCAAGGACTAAGTTAAATGTGTAAGCAGAATCCAGAACTCAAGACAGTGTACTAACTTTACCTAACCTAACCATCGAGCTAGTGAGTTGTGATCCCTCTTGCTTGCTCTTTCTTGTCCAGTGAAGTTTGAATTCTTTGCTGCAGAATGGAACCGATTCAAGAAGAGAAACAGAACAGGCCTGCACTTCAAAACAGCTAGCAGCCTGTTGGTTAAAGTATTTTCCTGCAAGGAGGGAAATACGAGTTTGAATCACCTCAGTCTGAAGAAGGCATTGGGTGCCTATACACATGCTCTGGGGTGGGGGTGGAGAGGCATTTTCAGTTGAGTGGCTCTCAGAAGAGCCACTAAGAGCCACTCTAATTAAAATGCAGCAGTGTCTTGTGTATTCAGTGTTCCACATTTCAAAATGGCCATGGGGACACTTTAACTAAAGCTTGTTCAATGAGCTTTTGTTAAAGTGCCCCTCCCACCATTTTGAAATGTGGGACACTGAATACACAAGACGCTGAAGCACGCTGGAGTGTTCTAATTACCAGACTTGGCTCCAACATGTTCTAATCAGAACGCATCAGAGCACATGTATAGGCTCCCATTTTTTACCAGTTTCCATGGTTGAGTGCTCTAACTACTTGTAAAATGTAGACAAGGGAAAGGCTGTGCTGTATCCTCCTCTGAGTGTGGGTGGAAAGGCAGAATTGCCCTGAATTGAGTTAGTCTACAAATGCCCCAGTGGTTAAGATTTAAGCCACAGCTTTTCTTCAGAGCTTCCACTGGCTCGCTTAAATAGCTGACACTAAGTTGGCTACTTGTTACTAATCTGTTCTCAGGAAGTGTCTAACCCTACCCAGAGATGGAACTAATGAGTTCTGCATCTTGGGCAAAACTCCCCTATGTGGAAGAAGGAAAGGAGGCTGGTCTTGCCTGCCCGGGGTATCTCAGCATGCAGATCCTCTGGCTGAATGGTGCAGATATGCTCCAGCCCAGCTCCTCCAGCTGTGTGGTGCAAGGTTGCTTTAGGGATGGTAGGGAGCACCAGAATGGTACCCGCTCTAAACTGACACCTGGGGCTGGTGGCTCACTTGCCCCAATGCTACTGACTCTACCCTTCTATTGTATAGGGAGCTTAGGTGCCTAAATCAGTGCTATGGATTCTGCTATGGGAGCCAGGTGTTTTCTTGCTCAGTGTTGCAATATATGTCCTTTTGAGAAGCTAACCATTCATCTCTCTTTTCCTCAATTTCCCTTTTGTAAAATGCCCTACTTCAAAAGAGTGGTCTAAAGATAAATACAATAGAGAATGTGGGGTGTCCAGATATTTCCACAGAATTACCTTGTATAGAGCTAGTTAATCAGGACTATTATAATTAAGTAGTATGTATAAATACAATTGGTTTTTTAACAAAAATTTTCTCTTACTAATGTATTGAAAATAAGTTTTTTTACTTTGCTGTAATCCTACTAGTCAGAGAAGGAAATCACCATTTTTGAAGCAGTTTTATTAATTTGGACCATGTAACAGGTCGTCCTCCCCAGTGCCATCTTCCTTGGTAATCCACGTTTTATGTGGGGCGCCTTTGGAGCTTTCTTAGGAGTTCTTATGTCCTGCCCTATACTCTCCTGCCACGTCTTGATGGAAATTATTATGATGATGTTCTTGCGAGTGGGAGACTGCTTATTGTATCATGCATGTTGGGACCGTTCACCTACTTGGGCCTGACCCCTGTTTTTCTCTAGCTAGGCCTCCCCATCTAAACCCACTAAGCTGGGTTTGACTCCAAGGCTCTAGCATTTTCTGGTGTCTTGAGGCTCATGGCCCCCCTTCCTGCTCCAATCTGGAGCCCCAGCCCAGAGGTCCAGGCTCCGGCCCCACAGCTAGAGGGTCACAAGTTCAAAACCAGGGGACAACCCTGAACTCGCACCCTCTCAATCCAAAAAAATAAAATAAAATAAAACAAAATAAAATTGCACCCCAGGTGCACCAAACCTCCCTGGCCCTTTTAAGATCACACCTTCAGGTGCCAGGGTCTGTGCCACCCCAAAAGCCACACCCTCGCTGGTGCCGGGGTCCCCAAAATGAGGCCTCCACCTTCCCCTAATAGCCTCACCCAAACCACTGGTGTTATTCAATAATCAAAAAAAAAAAAAAAAAGGAAAAAATAATAACTGTCACCAACCAATATGATCCAGCAAAGCAGCAGGTCTGCTTACATTTGCAGGGTTCATGCCTCAGCTCCATTCCATCAGCTGCAGTCCTTGCTGTGGTGCGGCTTCTGTAGTTCCCGCCTTTGGACCGCTCACCCAGCTTCTCCATGGAGTTCTCAGAGGCACTCCTTCCCCTTTGGCTGCTGTCCCCACCTTACTGCCACTCTGCCCAGGGTTTTTATAGTCCTGCCCCTTCCGGACAGCTGACTAGCTGGCCAGGCTCAGGATTTAACCCCTTCCTTATCAGCACCCTGTGCCCAGAAAGTTCTGGCCTGCTTTCTGGTGACAGGGCTAGGGTTCCCTGTTACAGACCACTTGTTGCAAAGTTGCAATAGGAGGTGTACATACTCAGTATCTTTACATCTTGAAGGTAAAGAGTAAAGATGTAATCTGCCTACACAACAGCATATATGTGGAGCAGATATCAGGCATACAATAAGTAACTTCAATCTGAGAAAATGTAGGTTACTTCATTGGACCATTAGTAGTAACTAGATACTGATGTGAATAACACAGGTGTACACATCTGTCTGTAGCATCAGTCAGTTTTATCCCAGGATAGGCCTTTGTTCAATGCACAAAGGTTACTGGTTCCCTTACCACATGCTGGTGAGGCACTTTAATACAGCTTATTGCAAGGAGCTACCTGGGGAAAGATGGTTGTCTGTCCATTCCTGCCACCATTATAACTTACATCAGTATACAAGTCAATGTAGGTTAGATAGGAATAAATGTGACATGTGCTGCACCCTAGCATCAAAACTTCTAACTTCAATAGTTATCAGTTTCCTTGTGACATTTCACACAACCTTGTTTATGTTAAACTAATTTGCAAGTATCACCAAGCCACAAAAGTGTCTATTAAAGAAGACAAATGCTAGTATGTTGATGCTGTCAGCACCATTAAAAAGTGGTGATTTCTTGATGAAGAAATATATGTTAGAGTCCTTTTGGAAACTAAAATACATTTCCTGAGCTATGCCATAATCAAAGGGTGCTACACAGAAGTCTTTCAAGACTAAGGAAAATTTATTTGCTCTGTTTCTTTTAAATGGCAAATAAAGATAACAAACCTTGACTGGCTTACTCTGGAAAAACACCAGGACAATGTGTCTCCTTTTCCCTAATGCTGAAGAAGGATATGCAGTGTGTTCTGAAACTGCATCAGTAATTGCTAGAAGTGGTGGTAGTGTTGCTATGGTGGTGCAGGGAATAAGCCAACAGGAAAATTGGTGAAGTGAAGTAATATATTTTTATTGGAGCAACTGTACAGCTGGGAGAGAGGTTAGGCAAGATTTGGGGCACAAAATGTTTTACCTCTAGTCTAGGAAAGAAGCAAATGCAGCCTTGCCTGAAAGGTTGGGGGTAAAGTATCATAAACTAAAATGACATCAAGTAAATTAACTTCTACCTCTGCTGTCTTAAATTATTTTCCTACTTTAGTGGATCAGAGTTGGGTTTCCCCTAGGGCTGTGCAAAGCTTCGGTCCCTGATTCGATTCAGTGTAGATTTGGCCCAATTCAGTGGCCAAATCTCTGAATCTGAATCGAATCAAGAGAACCTTTAATCTCTCTGAACCGATTCGGAGAGATTTGGAAAGATTCAGTGATTTGAATGTAGACACAGCTTTAAATGTTTTTTCTACATACCTCAAGATACCAGGCGGTTCATGAATGCTGAGATGCTGGGGCAGATGGAGCGTCCCACAGCAGTGGGGGGGGGGTCTCCAACACACTCAACAGCAGACCCAGAAGTGGACCAGAAGCACTTCTGGTCCATCTCCAGATCTATCAGGGAGCATGCTGGGGGGCCTTCCCCAACCCCCTGGCTCAGCAACTGGTGCCTCCTGGGTCTAGGTGGGCAGCCAGGGTCCCCTTATGGCTGATCACTGTGCTGGGGGGCGGGGTGTGAGGGGGGTCCCCAGTGCACTCCCTGGCAAACCTGGAAGTGGACCGAAAGTGCTTCTGCTCCACTTCCGGGTTCATCACCGAGCGCATGGAGGGGCCCTCCATGCTCCTGTGGGATGCTCCATCCACCCCACCATCACAGCATTCACGAGCCATGCCTAGTACCTTGAAGTATGTAGAAAAAACATTTAAAGCTGTTCTATGGCTGAATCGCTGATTTTCTGAATCAGCATTAAATCTTCAGATTTGGATTCGGCCAAATCAAATTGGGGACAGTGATCCGAATCAACAAATCAAATCACTGTCCCTGATTTGGGCCAAATCTGAATCCCAATTGAATACAATCCATTTTGCACACCCCTAGTGCCTCCCCACACACCCCACTATTTCATATCTTTCTTCCACAATTGCATCTTTCTAATCAACCCTTAATAGACATTTTCCTCCTGATCTTTGCGTCATATTTCTACCCTAATACTCTACTACCATGAAGCTCTTCAGCAAAGTATTTTAATAGTTCTCTCCACAACCCCTATCACCAAAAAATGAAACTTTTGTCCTACCCTTTCATCAGTAAGTGTATTATCTGCTTGCATTTTTGTCTGTTACTTTAGACTGTAGAAACCTTTGTCACAGTTGCCCTGTTAAATTTGATTAGCAGGATCAAGCCCTCATAGATTTTTAAGGTGCTTGGTGACATTGTCAGTGTCATCACTTTGTTTGGTACTGGTTAGAGAACTCTGAGTTCAACAATTGATATGTTGCTATACATGGCACTTCACCTATTCCTCCATTCATTTTTAACTGGGAACTGGAAACCACCTACTTTGACAAATTGTGTTTAACATTGTTTAAGAAAAAAGTTTAAGTACAAGACTGCTTTTAGAAAAGAGGCCATTTTTGCAGTTCTTTGTGGTAGTGTCTGCATATCAGGTGTGATTAATGACTAAAAGATCCCTTTGAATTATTCTAATTATGTAGTATGTTAATGAAGGGATTAGATAAATATTAACAGCTAAAAATTGCCATTAAAAAGTAAGAAATAATTGAAAGCAGATACATAAGATAAATTAAGCTTTGTTACAAACTATAG